CGTTTCAATAAAAATTTCATAACATAATTTTTACAATATCCTGTTATATATATTTATTAATAATGAATTACAACGTTCGCTAATGACTGATTACTATAATCCTGTTGCATTCATTTCCCTACGTGCCTTACACGCAGGCCCACCATTTCTCTCCACTAATACCAGCTGCGAATATTTTAACAGCCGATTGCACGTCATCAGTCTGGGATTGACTTGTTTGGTGGGCGCAACAGGAAATGTTTTGCTTTCGGAGAACAAGAAAAATAGGTTTATTTGTGTTACACTTATTAATTTGTGTAGTTATTCACTGTCTGGTAAGTTAATGTTCAAGAAAAAATATTAATTTTTAATCAAATGTTCTGTTATTTTATGTGAACGATTGTTAATTTATTTCAGCCTTTTGTATTTAGCATGTCTCTATTGAAATAAGCCCATGTTTCTATGAAAATTGAAGCTTTTGTTTTTTAGTGGCCCACATAAACTTAAACTTTATTTGGCCTGTGTTAGCCTTTGAGTGTGACATGCTTGGTGTAAGAAGCCTCTGGGACAACTTAAAGCCTACCAACATTCACATTATTGGGGTGTCAGAGGAGAAGAGAGAGAGCAAGATATTGAAAAACAGTGAGAGCAAAAAAAAGAAAATCTATTTGAAAAAATAATAACAGAAAACTTCACTCACTTGGTGAAAGAAATAGACTTACAAGTCCAGGAAGTGCAGAGAGTCCCAAACAAGAGAAACTCAAAGAGACCCACACCAAGACACATGATAATTAAAATGCCAAAGGATAAAGACAAAGAGAGAATCTTCAAAGCAGCAAGAGGAAAGCAGCTAGTTGCATATGTACAAGGGAGCGTGGATAGGACTGTCAGCTGATTTCTCAACAGAAACTTTGCAGGCCAAAGGGAGTGGCAAGAAATATTCAAAGTGATGAATGGCAAGGACCTACAACCAAGATTACTTTATCCAGCAAAGCTATCATTTATTATTTACTTTTAGAATAGCTTTACAGGCCATATTTAGAGAATTTCCTAGTTGCATATGTACAAGGGAGCGTGGATAGGACTGTCAGCTGATTTCTCAACAGAAACTTTGCAGGCCAAAGGGAGTGGCAAGAAATATTCAAAGTGATGAATGGCAAGGACCTACAACCAAGATTACTTTATCCAGCAAAGCTATCATTTATTATTTACTTTTAGAATAGCTTTACAGGCCATATTTAGAGAATTTCAACTAAAAAGAATCTTTGTCTTTCTTTTTACACACAACCACCTACAGGGTTGCTTCTTCCAAAGCTATAATTTAGAATTGAAGGTCAGATAAAAAGCTTCACCGACAAGAAAAAGCTAATGGCGTTTATTATCACCAAACCAGTATTTCATGAAATGCTGAAGGATATTCTTCAAGAAGAGGAAGGAGGACTGTGCCGGTCTCCATGGTGGGGCCTCGGAGCCCAGGTGAGAAGAAAAATGCTGCTATGAAGACATAATTATATCTCTCATATAAATGAAGCTACTACTGTCATGATTTTAGTGCTGCAGAAAGGATGAACTTCAGTGGACAAGAGGGCATTTTGAGGGGTAGTAGGATGCTTGAGGCCTGGAATTTAAATTTGAGCTACTTCCTGAAGCTCTTAAATAATAGAAGAAAATGGAATTGAATATGATGTCAGCATGGAACAGTCTAATGATTCATTAATAGTCATCCATAATGATTCCGAAGATTCAAAAACAGATTCTCAGCATTCAACCTGTATCGACTCCAGGGATCCTTCCTTTGGACAAAATAATTCTGATAGAGTTTTACCCGTCACTACTCATGAAGCAGATAATTCACTCACATCACAGAATATACCAGGGCCCCTGACTCAGGGACAGACTCTTTCTGCAGAGCAATTTCACCTAGTGGACCAAAATGGGCAACCTATTCAATATGAACTTCAGTCATTGGAGGATTCTAATGCACAAATGATGATTGTTACCAGCTCATCAGAAAATGGACAGATGCTTCGTGTAATTCCATCTACCCAGACAGGAATGACACAAGTGATTATACCTCAGGGGCAACTTGTGGATATGAATAGTCCTCAGGATGCCTCTGAAGAGAAACCCAGCAACAGAAACTTACCAACTGCAAGACTGGATGCTCTCGCTGACCATAACAGTAGTTATATTCTGGCCGAAACCGGTCTGGCTCAGTGGATAGAGCGTCGGCCTGCGGACCGAAAGGTCACAGGTTCGATTCCGGTCAAGGGCATGTACCTGGGTTGCGGGCACATCCCCAGTGGGGGATGCGCAGGAGGCGGCTGATCGATGTGGAAACATATTCTAATGATTTTGTGATTTAATTTTACTACATGCAGAAAATTGGAGATTCATACCGGGGCTACTGTGTAAGTGAGACTGAATTAGAAAGTGTTTTAACATTTCACAAGCAGCAAACACAGTGTTTGGGGGACTCGCCAATCTCCAAGCCCAGCCAAGCCAGCTACACGTTTGATGTGGAAATCCCAGTATGTCCCATATGATGGAATTCCATTTGTCAATACAGGTACTTTTTAAAAGAAATATTTTAAAAGGTTCAG